ACCTCAACCCCCTCACCCCTGCCCCTCAGGCCCCAGCCAGAACAAAATGGCCGCTGCCCCTCTGTGGCAGCCATTTTAGGTGCCCAGACCGTGGAGTCCCTTGGGATGGGGCTATGTCTCCATGGGAACCTCAGGCCCCCAGCTCCCCGCTCCCACCCTGAGGTGTGGGCAGCAAAAATGGAAGTCTTCCAGGCCTGAAGTGCCCGCCACTCTCCTTTTCCTCTCAGAGACCTGGAGGGGACCAGGCCCCTCACCAACTCCCTTCCCCCAATGCCACGGGGAGGAACAGATGGCATCTCTGGGTGTCCTTCTCCTTTCGTCTCCTTCCTTCCATTTCTGGCTCTTTCTGTCTTTCCGTCACTGGATCTCTGAGCACAGAGAGGAGCGTGCATGTCCCGGCGTGCTAATGCCTGCTCGTGTGTATGTGGACACACGTGTTGTACCTCTTCGGAGCTCATGTCTGAGGCAGGCCCAGCCTACACCTCCCCCTGTTCCAGTTTCCCCCCGGTTTTTATTGTATCTTCTAAAAAAGCGAAAGTTGGAATGTGTCGAGTGAGAAAAACTTGCTCCATTTTCCTGAAGAAGAAAAGAGGGGTCAGGAGCAGGCCCAGCGGGGTGAAGTTCTCTGTACCCCAGGCCTGACCACCCCACCCCCTACCTCAGGCCTCTGCCTGCAGGAGCCCCTTAAGGAGTCCTTTCGGATCTCAAAAACAGAGAGCACTAGGCGGCCTTACAGAGCGTTCCCTGAACAAGGTCTGCCCTCACCCGGAGGGCCCTATCAGACCCCAGTGGGCTTAACCCAATTCTTGATGTTTTTCCCTGCCAAGGAAGCATTCATCCATTTATTCATTCATACCTTCACCCATTAATTTAACAAAACTTTGGATTCTTTGTAGACAAAACATTTTAATTGGGGATGGGATCTATGCAATAAATTAATAATATAAAGCAAGCTACAATTTGCAAAGTGTCTTAATAAAAATAAAGGCTGCCATTTATTGGAAGATTCTTTCATTGCTGGCCCTGTGCCGGCTCATTATCCCATCACAGTATTCAGGGTTAGAAACAGCCCTATGAAGGGGCCGGATGATAACCTCCATTTCATGGACAGGGAAATCAAGACTGAGAAGGAGTTTGCTTGCTATGGATTCAAACCCAGGGCCTTGGGCTCTCCAGGCAAGGACCAGCCCTGGGCAAAATCCCCAGTCCAGAATTCAGTTGGCTTTTTTTTTTTTTTTTTTTTTTTTTTTGAGACAGGGTTTGTGTAGCTTTGGCTGTCCTGGAACTTGCTCTGTAGACCAGGCTGGCCTCGAACTCACAGAGATCCATCTGCCTCTGCCTTCCAAGTGCTGGGATTAAAGGTGTGTGCCACCACCATCTGACCCAGCATTTTCTTTTACAAAGTGATGGTGCAGCCCTTTAATCCCAGCCCTCTGGAAGCAGAGGTGAGTTCAGGGCTAGCCTGGTCTACATGGTGAATTCCAGGATAGCTAAGAGTACATAGTGAGAACCCATCTCAAAAACAGAACGAGGGGCTGGAGAGATGGCTCAGAGGTTAAGAGCAATGACTGTTCTTCTAGGGGTCTTGAGATCAATTCCCAGCAACCACATGGTGGCTCACAGCCATCAGTAATGAGATCTGGTGCCCTCTTCTGGTATGCAGGCAGAAAACTGTATTCATAATAAATAAATAAATCTTAAAAGCAAAACAACGAAATGAAAAGTTGGTGAGCAGAGTTGACTGAAAACCAGAAGCTCCTATCATGTAGGCAACCCCAAACTGGACAGGCCTTGCCAAGCCTCCTGCGAAGTCCGTCAACTTACTTCTGCCTCTGCCACGATCCCGCTTCCCAATCTCAGTTCGGCTGTCTGACTTAAGAGGGGCTCAACTTCCTAATTCAGAGCCTGGAAAGAGCTTCTTTTCCTTGGAGACCACCAAGGCAGTCCCGGGGTTAGTCTGGTTTTGCTCTTCCTGTCTGTTCCCAGTTACATCCATTTCCCTGCACTGGTCTCTCTGGAAGGAAGAGCAAGTGTGTTGCCTCTGACCTTTCAGCGCCTGGCCTCCAAGCACCCTGGACAGCTCCAAATGCTCTTTCTAGAGACCTTCCAAGGCAGTGTGTCTCTATGCAACACCCTGTTCAATCTGCAACATCAGGTCCAGTCTTACCAGGCTGAGATCCCCTTGAGGAAGTTAATCTGGGCAAGACTAGAGGACATCCACCTGGATTGAGGGATTGGAGGGGAACCCTCCTTTCTTTCTCTTTGCTTTGAGCCATTCAGGGTGTGCTGAAGTAGACCAGGGGACAGACCGGAAATTTGGGCCTGAAAGCAGTACCTACCTGAATCCAGGGTGGCCAGAGTCTCTATCCCTAGCCGTGAGTACTTGCGCACGCACGCACACACGTTGTCTCTCTGAATCCAGAGTGGCCAGAGTCTCTATCCCTGGCCGTGAGTACTTGCTCTCACACATTGTCTCTCTAAATAGGGGTGTTTCCAGTTTCTGCACCACACAGTGAGGAGCAGGGGTGGGCAGGTATGGGTTCTTACCTTCAACCTCTACCATTTACACCTGTGTCTGGCGTGCTAAGAGAGTTGAGAGGGGAACTATAAAGTAAAATAAAGCATCCATTTCCTATCTCCCTTAGCAAGACACCTTCCTGGCTCACCCCTGGCCTCTGCTTTTTGTGTTTTCTGTAGGGCAAGAATGTTTGGGTCCCATCTAGGAACTCTAGGCTGTCCCCAATCAGCCATATCCTCCCTTCAGCTAACCAAGAGCAAGCCATTACCAGGCAAGGATTAGGGATAGTAAGGACATAAGGAAGAGGAAGAGGAAGGTTTGTGGGTTAGGAATTCAGATCTGTGCCTCATCCCAGATGGGGGACACATGGTTCATCTCCAAGTTCCTCCCCATCCCAGCATACGTATGCCCTTGACATCCAAGGAAGCATCTCCTATGTAATGACTCCGCAGATAGACACACATGTCCCCACAGACACACACACGCCCATGCAGAGAGACAGACACCCAGGCAGGCAAATCTTTTCCCCTTTCTCTGTCTTTCCCTTGGTTTGAATTTCGTTCAGCCACATATGTTGTGTGTGCATGAGGGTGGGTGGGGGAGGGGCAGACAGGGATGAGGAATGGCATAATGCCAGCATCTACCTATGGGGCTTGGGTCAGGGATGCCCCCCACACCCACCCTGGAAGGAGGCCTCAGCTGTCCCTTTGTGGTGGAGGGGACTCTCTTGGGGAGTGGGAGTAAGCACTGAGGTCCCTTCTCCGTACTCCAGAGTCTGGTTCTGACCCACCTTAGGGACCAGGAAACAGGGAAATGGACAGATCAAGACCCCGGAGAGAGTCTAGAATTGGCCGCCACCACAAACCTCCAATTTCCAGACTTGCTACCCCATTGTTCCCATATGGGGGGGCTCTATATCTGAGGGGGGGCAAAGCCTCCCACCTCCCTCTCAATCCCTGCTTTCCTTGCGTTTGGCAGGGAGGGGAGGGCGGCAGAGATATTTATTTATTTCCTTTATTTATTTAATTTTTTTTTTTTTTTTGGAGTAGAGAGTGACAGATGGCGGCGGGTCCCGGGGGAGCCGGCTCTCCCCCAATGCAGACGCATGCCAATCACCGTCTCTCATGTGATAGCTGCTGCCCGTGACGTGCCAAGCCCATATGGCCTGGCATAGAGGCTGGTACCCCGCCTGGTAGAGATGCCACACTCGCTCCGCGGCTCGCATGGCGCTCTGAAGACGCCGGCGCCCGCCGCCTTGAGGAACCGCTGCCCCCGCTCCCTGAAGATGGGGGAACAATGAAATAAGCGAGAAGATTCCTCTTCTCCCCCCTCTCTCTCTTGCCCCCTCCCCCTCCCCTCCCCTCTCCCCTTGACTCCTCTCTGAGGTAAGTTGTCCGAAAGGGAGCTAGATCTGACCTGCCCATTGGGAGGGGGGCGCTGCTTCGGACATGAAAGTCCCCCAGATTCCCCATTCCTGGGACTCTACCCCCTCACTGGGTGGGCATGGGCGCCCTGGGTTCTGTCTCCCATTGGGGTCGCAGCTCAAGGGGCTGCGTTGGGAAACCTTATGCCTAGGGTGGTCTGGGGGGTAGGGTCATGAGGTGCACGAAGAGGCGAAGATGGGGACCCCCGCCCCATGACTGTCCCGAAGGAGGAACCTGCGACCTTTCCCTGTCACCAAAAAAGATAAGCAAACAAACAAATTTGGATTTTTCCCCATGGATCCCAAAATACAACGAGATCTGAAGAGACGTGTGGGAGGGAGGCAGTTCGAAGGGGGGAAGGGGGTCCCTGACCGTAGGGGAGACGAACAGGGTTCGCTTCTGGGTCTCCTCCCCACGCCCGGCTTCTTCAGTCCTCGCCACCCGGAGCCGGCTCCGGGAGACCCGGACGCAGCAGCTAGAGGAGACGGTGCTCCGGGCGTCTGGAATTGGGGCTGCGGGGGTGGGGGCCGGGCCGGGGGCGGCGCGCGGCCAACTTGCAAATTGGATTAGGGAGCGTGGGGGTGAGAGGCACCGGAGGGCAGGGGGAGCCGGGCCGAGGGACCCGGGCCGCGGAGCCAAGGAACCGGGCAGCTGTCCCCACGGCGGCCGCCCAGCTTCTCTCCATCACCCGGAGAGAGCAGGCTTTCGGGCGAGAGCACCGCCTCCCCGGGCAGAGGAACCTGGCCCTTTAGCACCCCACCCGGTCCACGCTCTCTGGGACCCCGACACCGGCCTGGAGCGGCCTCCTTTGCGCCCAGGGGCGGAGCCGGGGCCCGGCTCTGGGGCGAGGGCCTGGGCCGCGGAACCCCGCCGGCAGCCGGGCAGGGCTGGGCCGGCTCTGGGCGGGGCAGCGGGACGTGGTGGGCATCAGGGGCTCCCTGGGCTGGAGCGCGCGCCGAGACTCGGTGGTGGTGGCGGGTTGGGGGGCAGTGGTGACCCTGGCGCGCCCCTCACTCTGTGTTGTCTGTCTCCCCGCCCCCGGGGCGCCCTCAGGCACCATGCTGACCCGCCTGTTCAGCGAGCCCGGCCTCCTCTCGGACGTGCCCAAGTTCGCCAGCTGGGGCGACGGCGACGACGACGAGCCGAGAAGCGACAAGGGCGACGCGCCACCGCAGCCTCCGCCTGCTCCCGGGTCGGGGGCTCCAGGACCCGCCCGGGCCGCCAAGCCAGTATCCCTTCGTGGAGAAGACGTCCCCGAAGCCACGTTGGCAGAGGTCAAGGAGGAAGGCGAGCTGGGTGGTGAGGAGGAGGAGGAAGAGGAGGAAGAGGAAGGGCTGGACGAGGCTGAAGGCGAGCGGCCCAAGAAGCGCGGGCCGAAGAAACGCAAGATGACCAAGGCGCGTCTGGAGCGCTCCAAGCTGCGGCGACAGAAGGCCAACGCGCGGGAGCGCAACCGCATGCACGACCTGAACGCAGCGCTGGACAACCTGCGCAAGGTGGTGCCCTGCTACTCCAAGACGCAGAAGCTGTCCAAGATCGAGACGCTGCGCCTGGCCAAGAACTACATCTGGGCTCTTTCGGAGATCTTGCGCTCCGGAAAGCGACCGGATCTGGTGTCCTATGTGCAGACTCTGTGCAAGGGGCTGTCGCAACCCACCACAAATCTGGTGGCTGGCTGCCTGCAGCTCAACTCTCGTAACTTCCTCACAGAGCAGGGCGCGGACGGCGCCGGCCGCTTTCACGGCTCGGGTGGTCCGTTCGCCATGCACCCGTACCCATATCCGTGCTCTCGCCTGGCTGGAGCACAGTGCCAGGCGGCTGGCGGCCTGGGCGGAGGCGCAGCGCACGCCCTGCGGACCCACGGCTACTGCGCCGCCTACGAGACGCTGTACGCGGCGGCAGGTGGCGGCGGTGCCAGCCCGGACTACAACAGCTCCGAGTACGAGGGTCCGCTCAGTCCCCCGCTCTGTCTCAACGGCAACTTCTCCCTCAAGCAGGACTCGTCTCCCGATCACGAGAAGAGCTACCACTACTCTATGCACTACTCGGCGCTGCCCGGCTCGCGGCCCGCGGGCCACGGGCTGGTCTTTGGCTCGTCGGCCGTGCGCGGGGGCGTCCACTCCGAGAATCTCTTGTCTTACGATATGCACCTTCACCACGACCGGGGCCCCATGTACGAGGAGCTCAACGCGTTTTTCCATAACTGAGACCTCGCGCCGACCCCCTTTCTTTTTCTTTGCCTTTGCCCGGTCCCCTAATCCCAGCCCCGCGAGCTCTGGGGCTCCCACCGACCCCAGCGCCAGGCGCGCGGGGCGTGGGCCGCCGGTTCTGCGGCTCTCTAGGGCTGGCGCGGTCTCTTACCTGTGGGTGGCCCGTCCCAGGGGCCTCGCTTCTCCCTGGGGACTCGCCTTCTCTCTCCCAACGGGCTTCCTCTTCCCTTCTGCAGTGGAGTGCATCTCTGGGGACCTCCCTCCCGGCTCTCCCTGGAGACTCCTTCCGCATTCCCAAACGAGGGTTTTCTCTCCCCACCTCCCAGTAGGCCGTAAGGCTTTGGTAAGGGGCAGCTGAGTTTTGGGATAGTGTCTCCGCTTAGGAAACTTTTAAAAAAGACACTGAGCTGCCCAGGCCGAAAGGAGTTGGTATCTCTTCCTTCTCGAAGAGGGCAAAAGCCAGGGCGCTCAAACGCCTTCACCCCCAACCCGAATCTCCGCGTTTTTTAAATTTTTATTTTGGTGGGAGGGGATGTGGATTGAGAGAAAAGAGAGAGGCCAAGCCAATTTGTAACTAGAATCATGTTTCCTTTTCCCTTTTTAAAAAAAACAAATATACAAAAGAAAAAAAAAAGCTAAGAGGCGACAGAGGCCGAACTCAGAGTCCGGATCGGAGAGAAAACGCAGTAAGAACTTTTAGAAGCAATAAAAGGCAAAATAATAATAATATTAATAATAAATACTACCAATAATAATTTTTAAAGAGACACAAATATCTATGCAAGAAGGTTCTGACTGAGCCTAGCAGCCCGGCCCGGGATGCCCCTTGGGTCCGCTGGCTGCACCGCCCAAGCGCGGATCAGTGCACTTTGGTGAAGTGGGGGCCCGCGCCGCCCCTCCCCCCAGGTTCTTACAATCAATGACTCGGAGATTTGGAGCCCCAGTGCCACTGCCCTCCCCCACCCTGTCCCGTTGTGCGTCATACTGTTTTCTAAAAACCTGTTTCCAAATTTGTATGGAATGGCAAACTGTTGGGGGTTCGGCTTGGGGAGGGAGGGTTTGCATGAGAGACACACACGCACACCACACCGCACGCACACGCAGGCCCGACATGGGCGTCCGTCCGGGGACAGATGGAAGTGAGTCTCCAGGCTCCTCCTCTCTACGGGCACTCCGGTCCCTCTTAGGTGAAGGTGGAAGAGCCCAGACCTGGGGGCAGCCCTACCCCTGCCCAGACTGTGCCTCTGGGGGCGCCAAGCTCCTGGTGACTTCTGGTGGCTGGAGAGGTTTTTTTTGTTTTGTTTTGTTTTGTTATTGTCGTTGTTGGGGGGAATTTTTGTTGTTGCTGCTTTTGTTTTTTGTTTTGTTTTGTGTTTTGGTTCTAGGCTCCTCCTGACTTTTGTCATCCAGTGAGCTGGGAGAACTGAGGGCCCCTTTTGGAGATTTCCGGCAAAAGAGGCAACAGGTGAACCTCTCCGCTCCAGAGGCAGGGAATCAGGCACCCAAACACTCGATGCAAAAAACGCAAACCCACAGGCGACACACCCCCCACACACGCAATTTTACCTTCCTCTTGTAGCGAAGATGAAACTCCCGTCGGACACCCGAAGTGCATTGCGTGTTTCTGTTGAGTTTAATGACGATTAATAAATATTTATGTAAATGAGATGCAAAGCAGACCCGGTTTCTCACAGTGGCCTCCTTTTACGGGTGGGGACAGGGATTGATCTGGGACTGAGGTGATGGAGGCTATGTCAAGCGACTGTTCAGAAGACTGAAAGAATGACTGTGGACATTCCTGGGTGGGGCTTCCAAACTGCAAGACCTTCGCACACACCCAATGGGCTGATAAACAATCACACTTGCTGCCCCTTCTAGGCCCCACCCAGATTTACATTGTACCCAGTACGGAGCACCCCTGTGGTCTGCTTGCTTTCATTCAGCTCCCAAACACACTCAAGGATCTTCTTTGAAAACAAAACATTTTTTAACACTGAAAAAAAATTATCAAAATGGGACTATCCCATCATCTCACAACCCCTGGCTTACTGTCACACACACACACACAAAGACAAGTAAGTGCAAATAATGAGGACGCTGAGGAGGCAGACATGGATTTTCTTGAATTAAAAAAATAAGATCATGAGGATAAAATATCAATGGAGAAATCTCCTTTCTACCTTAAATTTGTGTTTCAGTGAGCTTAAAGGAACGAATTTTTCTGGTGTCAGGGATATTGATTTTTTTGGGGGGGGATTATGGATAAGTCTATGAGGTGGCTGAATCTGGAGAGGGACCCTGGTTAAGGACAAGACCTAACCATGAGCAAAAGGAAACAGCACCAATTAATACCTGCGCAGCCTCCTTCCCTGCTTCAGGAGAAGAGAAAAGAGGCTCAGTGGAAAATACGTAGGAAGACCCTCTTTTACTCAGACCCCACTTTCTCCCCCTCGAGCCCCTGGACACAGAGGCAGCTAGCTCTAGCTCGGAGTAGACTCTCCCCCAAAAGATGCCTTCTCCTTCTGAAATATTTGAAATTCAAATATTTAAAAACTCAAACCCTAAAACCCAAGGAGACTTAGTTAGGAATTCCCTAAAGAAGCAACCCTTAGTGCTTTTTCCCCCCCTCAAAACACCATCACTCATTTTAGGATTGAAGTGAGGTTGAAGGCAGTATTGTTCAGGGTTGAGGTCAGACACACTAAGCTAAGGGCTCCAAGGGAGAGAAGGAGGAAGAGAGAGGAGGAAGTCTAGATGTCAAGGGGCTCAGAGGAAGCTGTGAGTGTGCTCAGTGATGCCACTAAAGCCCACACTTAATCTTTAGTCTTCTGAGTAAAAGCAATGCCCCCCCCCCTTGCCTCTACGCAGAGGGACAATTCCAATTCCGGAGCTGTCCACTCCACGGTGCTGACTGGTCTCTAACATTTTTCCCTTCTGGCTGCCGCAGGAGGCCAGAGCCTGAAACAGCAGAGCAGAGCCCATTGGAATTCTCCTGCAGGGAGACTTCCTAGGAGACTTTCATTGTTAATTCTTTTTAAACGTTCACCACATCTGGGTATCTCTCAGGACCACCTCTCTTGAGTGAGAGCGAGCCCTTTGTCACGGGATTCTTCCCTGCGGGTGGCTAATGAGATCTAACAGATCTCTGAATCACTTTTATTCTTTAGAAAATGATTTTGGTCCATCTTCTCTGTCCTCCACTTTGGTGGAGAATGAGAGATTGCAAGATGCACATTCTAACCCTAACCTGAAGGAGCTGGTCTGTGCCTAGTGATGGGCAAGGCTTGGCAGGGGCATTTGGAAGAAAAGGAATTCAGTTTCATACCAGGGTGTGATCCTTGTCTTGCCCTGGGAACAAGGTTAATTGGGCTTCTCTCCCACTCAGCTGGTTTCCCAGAACTTGCTCTGAACTCCAAGCTGGGCAGCATCCAGGTGGCTTGGGGCCGGATGTAAAGGACCCCTCCACGTGGCTCCTCTGGCTAGAATACAGGCTCCTCTACATAGATCTTCCAGCTACCTCACACTGCTGTATTCCAAAGCCAGATTCCAGCCTCCTTTGAAAGATGATGACGACTCTGGGGCCCTTGCATCTATGGGTCAGACCATGTGGGGATGCAAGGACTCTTTGGGGGGGCAGGAACACTGGATCCCCTGCTTCTAGTGAATACCTCCAGCAGCCAACTCCAATTCCTGACCTTCCCCCATGCTCCCTGCACTCTGGCTGACTCCTGCCTCCCACCACCACCCTCCTCCCCAACACAACACTTAACTGCCCTGGTGAGATGGGAAGATGAGCAGGAGAAGAAGATGTGCCTGGACACTCGGCCCCAGACGCCCCCTCACAGATCTCTTTCTCTCGCTTGGCTTGCCTGCACACACATCCAGAGAAGCTCCAGGAACAGAAGGAGGGGGGAGGTGAAAGGGCGCTGGCATGGCTTGGGGCAGGGTGGTGGGCAGGAGCAGAAAGTGTAGAGAGGATTCTTTCCCTAACCTAAGCAGCAGGCTCTCCTAGCAGTCCACGCCCTGCTCACAACCACCCCTGGACTGCCCAACCCTGCGGCTGTAGCCAGATCCAATCTGCAGGCTGATTTCTCTTTGCATTTTCCAGCCCCCATCCCATGCCTAGCATTTGAAAATGGCAGAGAAACAGAGATGCTTATCTGGTTGTGATAGCAAAGGAATGTGTAGCTACTTCTCCCCTCACCATTTAATACCACCCTAACCACCATCTGGATGGTGAGTCACTGTCCACCAGTGAAACTCCAGCTCTGATTTTATCACCTAGGATAATAACAGGATAAACCACTGGGGAAGGCAAGAAAGCTGAGTCCTACCTGGACCAGTACTGGGAAGCCCTCCACTCCAGCTCACTCCTCAACAGTGTGCCAGCTTGTCTTCCCTCCATAAATCCAGAGCCACCAGATTCAGGATCTGGGGACAGAGGTCAGAGATTTCGTTCTCTTTTGCCCAACCTTGATCTCCTCCTCTTCCTGGAACCTTTAACAGGAAGTCACTTGTTCCAGAAGCTTCCATGGATCTTCCATGGATTGCAGTACTAAACATGACTCTAGATCACACAGATTAGTTTTCCAGGTAGAAGGGGTGAAAGACAGCCTCAGTCTTGACCTCCACTCCCAAGCCTGGACCACCGGACAGCAGAGGGCCAGAGCAGCCCAAGGCTCCATTCTGACCAATATGGACAGTTCAAAGGGGAAAACTGAATGGAGACCAAGCCTGCATTGTGGGGACTGTGGGGACTTTCCTGTCCAAGATGCTAGCTGTTTTCATTTTTTTTTCTTCTGAGATTGGGTAACTAGGTATTGGCCACTGGCCTAGAGTGAAGGTGACACCTGGCCTCTGAGAGACCTGGAAACCCTGCTCTGCCCTACTTCTGCATCTTGATATTTATTTATTTATTTGTCTGTACCTAAGCCTTCAAAAATTCTCCACAAGGTTTCCCGAGGTGAGCAGGGTGCTCCTGCCTCAGGAAGACTATC